AAAAATTCCAAACACACCTTCCTGGTTCCACCATCAATTTAGTTGTGCTTCTTTCAATTAGTATCCTGTATTCATTGTTCATGATGCAGTCTATTCTTTACTGGGGATATCAAATGTAGACTGGGCAATTAGCTTGCAGTACACTGCCATTCAGTTTAGAGGGTGATCCTGAGCTTCCAGTAACCATTCATTTTAGTTCTTCCTTCTGAAGTAACTCCACGAAGGCCAGTAACCTGGTCACCAAGTCATCCTTAGTTTACAGGTGCACCCAGCTGACAATGACCCAGCTAGCTCAGAGCTACTTCCTACAACAGAACCTTTGGCACTCTTGTTTATATCTGTCAGCCAGGACTCCCTGATTGGATCACGACAACAGCCACAATCAGGGAACTCATAACTTACATGGTCCACCTGGCTGACCTCATTACAATCACTACATCCCTCTGCTCCCACTCTGACCTTGGTCTCCTGCATTGTTCTAATGAGGCTCAACATAAGCTCAAGGAGCAGAACCTCATCATTCAATAAAACAGTTTAAAGCCCAATCTCAACAACGAGGTCCACCATTTCAGATTGCAATCTCTATTTTACTTTTTGGACGGTGGCTGTTGCTCAAGGTTCTGCTGTTTTCCATTTACAACTTCTCTAGACATATCGCTTGTTCCTTTACTTGTCTGCCACCCATTCTATTACATACCTTTTTGCTTGCTCTTTCCTTCCTTCCTTCCTCCTGTTGGCTGCAACTTACAAATTGTTAGGTGTGTGAACACCCCCAGTTCTGGTGAACGGTCATCATTTGAAACGTTGGAATCCTCCCGGGCCCAAAGAGGTAAGACTGTAACATTTAAACTTAGTGCGTCAAATTGGCTCCCAGTCATAACCCTTTCTCCAAAAAGTATTAACAAAGGTGGGCTCAATATGGTAGTCATTACCACCCAGAAATGGAGGATAATAAATGCAGCCTATTAAAGGACCAAATGAGGGCAAATTCCCAAGCTCAGGTGGGTCTCCTGGTGAGCCCGCAGCCTCGTAGGTACCTAGCTAGGACATCCTAATGGCAGGACAAGGAATCATCAACACTGTTCCTCACTCTATCCAGAGGGATGAGAAAACCAGATCCACAGCTATAAGCTATCATGTGCAGGGAAGCCCCATAACAATGGCCTGTAAGCTATGGTCATTCTTTCTTACTTTACAAATCCCTTCAGTGACTGCCTACATATTCAAACGCCCTCACATGTCTCTGCAGCATCAGCAGCTCTCACTTTTCCCAATGGGGTTGCCAGGCATTCAGGGATTTATGATTGGGACTCTTATCTCAGGAATCCACTGACTGTCTTTAATTAGAAGGTAAAAGTGGAAGCAGCCTGTTAATGGGTCACCTCCAGTATGATTGCTATGCCATGTGACCCCAGAGAAACATTGACACCACACATCGGCACCAGCACTTGATTCTGAAGGCAGAAACATTTTATAAATAGTCAGGTTCCACTTATTATCTGTTGCTTTCTCAACAGATACTGCCAAACCTGCTGAGCACTTGCAGTATTTGGTGTTTTTATTTGATAGGAGATCCCTGTTAGTTTGGCAAATTAACCCTGTGTGAGTTTTTCAACCATACCAAGTCACAAACTTCTAGGTTCAAGCAATCATGTTATGCTGATAAATTTAGATCTGGAAATATGTTAAACCCATCAAGACTACAGCGCAGAATGTGTTCATTCGGCTCTTTATATGATGTTAGCTCTTTAACTGAAGCAATTTAATCTGATTAAACATGCGTTTGTGTATAGCTCTGTTTGTTTGTATGTGTATGTGAATATCCATGTTTGTCATTGTATTTGTGTAGGTGTATCCATGTGTGTATGTATTGGTGTACGTGTGCATCCCTGTCCATTTGTCTTTATCTGTGTACTTATATATGGATGTGTCTGAATGTGTGCATTTGCATACAGATATCTGTATAAATGTCTGTGTGCATCTGTGTCTGTGTATCTGTGTGTGTATGTCTATCCGCATGCTTGAGTTTCTATGTATTTTTGTGAACTATCATGTATGTATATACATCTGTGTGACTCTCATTCCTGTCTGCTCCCAGTGCATTCATGACTTGTATGTACCCTGTATGTCCCATGATGTCATGCAAAACCAGATGGTTGACTGTAATGCTCTAATAGACAAACCATACATTAATAATGTGTTAAGCCATACACATTAACCATGAAGACTTGGTAATGGCTATTACACCTAGAAATTAGAGGGTGCTGGTGCCATAGAACCTTACCCCAGTAAAGAGTCAAATCCTTTAGGAGAGAAGGCACTGTGACAACTAGGAAAAGAAAGGAAAAATAAGTGAAAAAGTGAAGAAACGAAAAGAAAAAGAGAGTTAGAAATGAAAACATTAAAGCACAGAAAAGGAAATGAAGTATTCTAGAAGTACAGAATTAACAAAAAGAGAATTCACAGAGATAAAACCACTAAAGGATGAACAAGATCAACACAGAGGAGTTGGTATGAAATAGCAGGGATACAGAATAAATACTTTGCCCTAATCTTTATTCCTGGGTAAAAATGTAGCGAGGCGAGTATGTCATGCCCATCAGGACCAACAATAGACAGGTTCATCCCATTTTAACAGCCACTGCCATCATCCTGATCAAAATGGCTGAGAAGTCAACAAGAAGCAGTGCTAAAATGTATCATTCCGAGGAAACCATCAGGGAGCGATATTGCTCTGATTCCCTTCCTCACAACTTCTGGTTAAAATCATAGATCAGTCAAATGTGTCTTTGGTGAACTTTGCCTTTGCTCTTACTGATGAAACTAACACAGAGGAAATATTAATGCAGAAAAAGTCAGAAGAAATATTTCAACAGTTAAAACAACAAGAACAGAGACAAAATCATCGAATGGTTACAGTGTTCAAGGAAGCCAGACACCAGTCAAAATGAAGGATGACAAAATCCTGGTCTAGATAAATTGTGGACTACATCAATGAATTAAGGAGGTAATGTTAAATTGAAAGTAAAACTTGGTCACACCACAATAGAGAAACATTGTACAGTTCTGGTCTCCATATTACAAAATTGAAGCATTGGTATGGAAAATATTTATCAGGATATTATCAGAATTGATAGATGCAATAATAAGGAATGATTAAACAAGCCTTTTGTTCCCCTGGAAAAGAGAAGGCAAAGTGAAGACAAAGTACTTTATATGCTGAGGATTTTGATAGGGTGAGAAATTGGGCTTGTTTGTGATTCTATGTTGAGTGATATGAGTACTCTTAAGGGTCTATGCGCTATGCACAGACACTTCTGGAAGTGGATCATGCTGGATGCCATCCAGTAAGACTTTATTCAAGTCCATGTTACAGTCCTGAAATTCACAACTTTAAGTGAAACAATTTTAAGTGAAGTATGGTTTCCCATAGAAATCAAAGTTAAAGTCAGAGTTAAGTTCTTGCATGCAAGTTTCACTCAGAAAAAATAAGGTACATATTGAAATTCTGTACTGCACTTGTGAATTCCTAGCTGAAGTATCTTACAAAGTGAGAAAAAGTCATTAAATATAAAATGAACACTGTACATTTAGGTACTTCAGGATTTTTCTCAGCAGAAAGCAACTTAAAATATGAAGTTGAAATGAATTATTATTTATTCAATTCCCAAATGGAATATATAATCAGTTTTAAAGTAAATAAATTTAAGACCACAGTAGAAATACAATGTAAGTATATGTACAAATACTGTAAATAAATATTTTTAATCAACTTGTGCAGACATATTACTACACACCCCTGGAGTAGAGCAGAGATAGCAACAACTGCAGATGCTAGAGTCAGAGTCAATACAGTGTGGAGCTGGACGAACACAGCAGGTCAGGCAGCATCAGAGGTACAGGAAAGTTGACCTGATGAAGGATCCTGACCCAAAACATCAACTTCCCGGTTTCTCTGATGCTGCCTGATCTGGTATGTTCCTCCAGCTCCACACCGTATTGACCCTCCTGGCGTAGATGGGACTTGAACCTAGTCCTCCTGGCCCAGAGAGAGGGACACTATCATTGTAACACATGGGTCCCTCCTAACTGTAAATACAGAAAATGTTAAAAATACACTCACCTGTAGCAGAACACTGCCGTCAGTGGTAGAGGATGCTCAGTTTTGCCTGCCCTGACATCAACTGCAAGTTCAGAAAGACAGCCAGGACAGAAATCGACATTGCAGACTTTAAAGGTAAGATCAGAGGACACGGTAGAGTTGAATGTGGGAGTGAAGAGGGATTTGAAAGCACAGCAGGTGCAGACGGAAAGCCAGGAGGACTGAGTGTGAGAGCTGAAGCTTGGGGAGAACATTTTGAAAGCAGGCAGGCCACAGAACAGGATGTCTGACAAACAATGTTAAATTGAGACTCCCAATGTTACAGAAATACATTGTCACTATTATGGATATTAAAGCAAGACAATGTCAACTGAGTCAATTTTAAATGGAAATGGTGATGCCACCGATTTGAGGACACGTTGGAATGTATGCAGAGAGGCAGATTTTAACCTCAATGTGATTTGAAATCAATGCATTATTATGTTCTGCAGCAGGAAGGACCTCTACACCAGCACTATTTAAAGGGACTATCAACTACTCTCAGGTTAATTATTGGTTGATTTTCTTTTCTGGCTGTTTGCTTTAGTTCTACAAATGCTTGGTGATTTGTATAGTTGTTTGATATCGCAAGTGGTGTGGTGAGGTGCTGTTACATTTTGAAGTATTCAAGGCTTCTTTCTGATCAAGTTAGTTGCCTCAGACATGGATGCACTGGTACACAATCCCCTTGGAATACAGCTTGTCTTGGACAAAGAATGCACGTCACAAAATTCAGTGAGTAAGGGGAGGAAGAAAAGGGTGCAAATGACTCCCAGCAGAAGGCCCTATTTGCCCAGAGTAGATATTAGCAAGTCTGAGATTTTTAACATAAAAAGAAACAAAATTAATGGTGATTTACCTGCAATATCCTGGCCAACTTGCCCTTGAATTTGAAGTGCACTGGAATTTAGCGATGTTCTCTGGCTTTGCAATGCAAGTCTGCTTTTTGCTGCAGGAAGTCTCGAGATTGCACCTAGACCTAATGGTGGCCTGAGAGTTTTGGGTAGCCTAGAAACAGCTGTATGGGGTGCAGGACTGAAGCACTCTTCTGGAACTGAAGCCACATTCTGTCCAGAACTAATTTGACCAAGAGAAGGGGTGTCTATCTGAAAAATAAGCAAGAGAAATATTTCATCACATGATTTTGATAATTATGTTCAATTAAACGTGTACTCCTGAAACACACACGCACACACAAGATAAACAAAACTATCTTTTTAAAGTAACATTTATGATGGATATATTTTTACATGAATTGGCTTGATTTCATAGAATTTTACATTCATTTCAATTTTGCATTAATCGGTGGATCCATATTTCACTTCTGAGTTGAATGTCGTTGGTACCACTTTGCTTCAGAGTCATAAGCTTCTAGCATAAAGTCCAACATCAGAAAGAAAAGAAAACAGCAAAACTTGGAAGTGGTGTAAATTGTTCCGAACTTATCTTGTAAACCTGAAAATGGAACTCCAGTTTAGACCTGCATGTTCATTTCTGAGTTTTACTTTTTTTTTAAAACTACACTGTCAGAGATGATGTCCTTGAGGAAAAGTGTAAAACTGGGGCCACACCTGGCTCCTTTGGTGCATGTATAAGGCATGGCATGCTTACAAAGGAAAGTGCAAGGCACCAGAGTTCGCTGACTCATTACAGATTAGGATTGGTGGTCAGTTTAACCTCAAGTGATAAAGGAGGTTGAGATGGTGGGTCATTATGGTGACGTCAGCCGGTACAGGAGTGAACTTGCACTGTCGGCATTCACTGTTCTTGCATCCAGCTAACCAACACCAAAAGAAGAGCAGCATAGTCATCTCTGGTCTCACGGCCAATATCATTCCATCAATCAACATCAGAAACAAACAGAACTTCTGATCATCATCATATTGCTGTTTGTGGAAGTTTTGCATGTGTAAATTGTCTGCTGTATGTCCTACATTACAATAGTCATTACATTTCAAATGTATTTCAGTGCACTTACAGATATCTTGCAGTCGTGAAGCACCACTTCAATGGTGGTCTTTTCTTTCTGATATTCAATTTTAATAATGCTACAGATTTCAGACAGGTGGGAAGATAAAAATGTGCAAGTACCAAGCCACCCTGGAGCTGACTAAATGTAATGGAGCAGGCAACAAGCATCCTAAGGACTATCCCAAGTCTCAGGTCTTTTCTTCTATTCATATGTCAGGTCCATAGGTAGCTTTGGTATTGGACTGAAATTTAACTTGGCAGCCTAAGCAGGGAGCCAGAGATACTTTCATGGCAGACCAAAGGAGTGAAGACATTTGAGATGAGTAGGTAAGCTCTTTATCAATTTTCTTTTAGAACATAGAACATAGAACAGTACAGCACAGTACAGGCCCTTCGGCCCACGATGTTGTGCCGAACTTTTACCCGAAACCTAAGGTCTATCTAACCTCCACCGCTACCTTATACTATCATCCATATGCCTATCTAATAGCCGCTTAAATGCCCCTAATGAGGCCGACTCCACTACCCTCTCTGGCAATGCATTCCACGCCCCTACCACTCTCTGAGTAAAGAACCAACCTCTGACGTCTCCCCGATATCTACCTCCTTCACTTTAAAACTAGGTCCCCTCGTAAAAGCTACCTCCACCCTAGGAAAAAGTCTCTGGCTGTCTATCTATACCTCTGATCATTTTGTACACCTCTATCAAGTCACCTCTCATCCTTTGCTGTAATAAAGAGAAAAGCCCTAGCTCTGTCAACCTTTCCTTGTAAGACCTTCCCTCCATTCCAGGCAACATCCTGGTAAGTCTCCTCTGCACCTTTTCCAACACTTCCACATCTTTCCTGTAATGAGGTGACCACAACTGGATACAATACTCCAGATGTGGCCGAACCAGGCTTTTGTATAGCTGGAGCATAACTTCACGGCTCTTGAACTCAATCCCTCTATTAATGAAGGCTAACACACCATAAGCCTTCTTAACAATTCTATCCACCTGGGTGGCAGCTTTCAGGGAACTGTGGACATGAACCCCGAGATCCCTCTGCTCCTCCACACTGCCAAGAATCTTTCCATTAACCCTGTATTCTGCTTCCAAGTTTGTCCTTCCAAAATGAAACACCTCACACTTTTCAGGATTAAACTCCATCTGCCACTTCTCAGCCCAGCTCTGCATTCTATCAATGTCCCTTTGTAACCTAGAACAGCCCTCCGCACTGTCCACAACGTGACCCACCTTCGTATTGTCCGCGAACTTGCTAATCCACCCATCCACTCCTTCATCCAAATCATTTACAAAAATCACAAATAGAAGAGGACCCAGACAGATCCTTGTGGTACACCACTCGTAACTGACCACCATGTTGAATATTTTCCGTCCACTACCACCCTTTGTCTTTTAAGGGTCAGCCAATTCTGGATCCAATCTGCCACATTTCCCCCTATCCCATGCCTCCTTACCTTCTGCATGAGCCTACCATGGGGAACCTTATCAAACACCTTACTTAAATCCATGTATACCACCTTCATCCACATGTTTGGTCACCTCTTCAAAGAATTCAATAAGGTTTGTGAGGCATGATCTACCCCTCACAAATCCATGCTGACTATCACGAATCAAATTGTGCCTTTCCAAGTGATCATAAATCCTGTTTCTCAGAGCCCTTTCCAATAATTTGCCCACCACTAACGTAAGACTAACTGGTCTGTAATTTCCGGGGTTATCCCTGTTCTCTTTTTTGAACAAGGGAATGACGTTTGCCTCTTTCCAATCTTCTGGCACTATACCCATGGACAGTGAATTTCCTATCCTTGTGGGATCGGGTGCAGTATAAATTCTCCTCGCCTCACAAGGAAATTGAAAACCTTCTCCTATTCCTGCAATACCACCTCTCCAGATAATACTCATCACTAATTCCACACTGCATGTTCCTGCTATAGAGGGAGTGCAGCGAAGGTTTACCAAATCAATTCCTTGGATGGCAGGACTGATGTATAAGGAGAAATTGAGTCGGCTAGGATCGTATTCACTGGAGGTTAGAAGAATGAGGTGGGGGATAGAGTCATGGAAATGTACAGCAAAGAAACAGACCCTTTGGTACAACTGGTCCATGCCAACCAGATATCCTAAATTAATCTAGTCCCATTCGCCAGCATTTAGCCCATATCCCTCTAAACCCTTCCGATTCACATACCCATCCAGATGCCTTTTAAATGTCACAGTTGTACCACCTTCCACCACTTCCTCTGGCAGCTCATTCCATTCATGCACCACCCTCTGCATGAAGAAGTTACTCCTCAGGTCTCTTTTAAATCTTTCCCCTCTCACCTTAAACCCACGTCCACTAGCTTTGGACTCCCCTATCCTAGGAAAAGACCTTGACTGTTCACCCAATCCATGCACCTCATGACTTTATTAACCTCTGTAAGTTCACCCCTAAACCTCTGATGATCCAGGGAAAATAGCCCCAGCCTATTCAGCCTCTCCCTATAGCTCAAACCCTCCAACCCTGGCAACATCCTTATGAACCTTCTCTGAACCCTTTCAAGTTTCACAACACCCTTGCTATAGCAGGGAGACCAGAATTGAATGCAGCATTCCAAAGTGATCTAACCAATGTTCTCACAGAAAACTATGTAATTCTAACTGGTTAGGTGCAGGAAGGATATGGTGGGGGAATCCAGAACGAGGGGTCATTGCTTGATGATAAGGGGTAAACCTGTTAGGATTGAGACGAGGAGAAATTTCGTCACCCAGTGTGAGTGGTGAGCCTGTGAAATTCACTACAACAGAAAGTGATTCAGGCCAAGATATTGCATCAAGAAAGAGGTAGATGTAGTTCTTGTGGGTAATGGGATCAAGGAGTAAGGGGAGGAGGATGGGATTTGGTATTGAGCTCAATGATCAGCCATGATCATATCGAATGACCTATACCTGCTCCAATGTTTCTAGAACCACCCCAGTAACCAATTTTGCCAATTTTCTGTTGTCATCAAGCAGCCTCCACATCATGTGAATTTCTACCATTTTTCCTGACTTTCGGAAATTAACTCATGGGATTTGAGGGAGCCACAGCCAATGAAAGGAGACAGCAGTCTCAGTCTGCCATAAGGCAGCCAGTAAAGTAACCAGCTGAAAGTTAAGATTCAGGCCATTGTTTCTGTTCAATAAGCAGGGTATCCAGACAAGAACTCTGCATCAATAACTATTGCTGCTTTTCCAAAATATCATAGTTTAAACTTAGTCTACTTAGTCATTGGTAATCATTCTGATGACTCAGTGATTTATGACTTATTGATGAGAAGCCATCATTATTTGGGTAATGAGTTAAATCAATGCCCAGGTCTTGACATTCCACATAAATTAGTACCATTCCTTTGCCGTTTTTAAGGTACTCGATAGTGTATTTTGCTGGTTACAGCAAGTGTTCTGATATCGATAAAACATTTCTCTGCCAGGGCAGACAATGCTACTCCTATCCAGCAATATCAAAAGCAGAGGCTGACAGCATTGGGAAAATGAACTGCAATTTTAAAAAGTGCTCTTAAAGAGGTAAATTCAATTTTCTTCAAATTTCTTTTCTTCTTTCTTCAGCGTCATATTAGTTGTCTACCCACCGCTGATCGCCATGTCCTATTTCCAGAGACCACTGCTGTATACAAGTCATATTCTAGTTTGGATAGTTTGCTTTCATTAATTCTCAATTCTCTATGCTCAGGCAAGGGCTTAACTGATTATCAATGGTAGAGGATAGACCACTAGAGTCAATACAGAAGAGGTACTCGTCTTTGATAATTAGCGTTTATTACATAAAAACACAGAACAGAAGTAGGCCATTTAGCCCTCTAGTCTGCTCTTCCATTTAATTAGATCATGACTGACCTGATCATAACCTCATTTTTTGCCTATGGCGACATTTCATCCCTGTATTGTCAACAATCAATCCACTTCTACCTTAAAAATATTCAAAGATCCTGCTTCCACTGCCTTTCCAGGAAGAGAGTTTCAATGACTCGTCTTATGTTTGAACATTGAGCTCACGTTCTAGCTCTAGATTAGTCCACAAAGGGAAACATTTTCTCTATGTCTGCCCTGTGAAGACACCTCGGGTTCTTACATGTTTCAATCAAATCA